CTAATCAATCTTGAGTGCATCTGCCTGTCCGAAATCCGTTGTTGGTTGATACTTTATCTTGAAATCATAGCCCAGCAGTGTAGTAGCCCATCGCTGTAGCCGGTTTGCTGTATATACCGGGATGCCTTTTTTAGATCCAAAGACTGTCAGTAACGGTTTATGGTCTGTAAGTAAGGTGAACTGCCTACCAAACAACATCTTGTGGAACTTTTTTACAGCAAATATAATCGCGAGGGCTTCTTTCTCTATTTGACTGTAGTTTCTTTCAGTCATAGCCAGTGATCTCGCAGCGTGAGCGATTGCTTTCTCAGACCCGTCAGGGTAGGCATGTGAAATTACTGCTCCAATTCCGTAGTTCGACGCATCTGCTGCTACTATAATTGGAAGATCGGGATCATAGTGTGTAAGGAGAAGGTTCGATAATAGAAGCTGCTTCAGTTTTAGGAATGCTTCTTGGCATTCAGTTGACCAGAACCATTTAGTATCCTTTTTCAATAAGCAATTAAGAGGAGCACGATGGCGATGCAGATCTGGAAGAAAAACTCCATAATGATTAACCATTCCCAAGAAAGAACGTAAAGTTGATACACCCGTCGGTGGAGGCGTGGACTTAATGGCTTTGACATTTTCAGGATCAGGTTTTCTCCCGTTTTTATCGATTATGAATCCCAAATACCGGACTCGCTCCATGTAAACATCACATTTTTCGGCACACAGTATGAATCCATAATCTGCTATGCGTCTAAGAACCGTATCCACCTTATTCTCTAAATCAGCATAGTCTGTACCCATGATCAATATATCATCGAGATAAGCCGCGGTACCAGGAATGTCTTGTAACATAGTGTCCATAACTTGTTGGAAGATTGAAGGGGCAGTCTTTACTCCAAAAGGAAGTCGGTTATATCGGAATAATCCCTTGTGAGTGTTTATTGTCAAGTAATGCTTACACTCATCCGCTACCGGAATCTGTAGATAAGCGTCTGATAGGTCTAATTTCGCAAAATACTCACCCCTATTCAGTTTCGTAAATAAATCCTCTGGTACCGGCAATGGGTATTGATGGGCTTCAAGCGCTTCATTTAATCCAGTCGAATAATCTGCACATAGCCGGATACTTCCATTAGGCTTTTTAACAATCACTATTGGAGCTGCCCAATCAGAAAAGTTTACTGGCTCTATTATTCCACTTCTTTGCAGACGCTCTAACTCTTGTTCAACAATAGGTAGCGCTGTATAGGGTACCGGGCGTTTTGGTCTGAAGACGGGGATGACTCCTGGTTTAAGAATCAGTAGTGCTTCTACCTTTTTGCATTCCCCCAACTCTTCCGTAAACACTTGACTGTGTCTTTCCAATACAACACTCTTCAGATCCTTTTCCACCGGTTTGTTGGTTCTCACTGCTCTGCATATGTGGTTAATGGGGTGATTTGTCAATTGTAGTGTTTCTGTCAAGTCTAGACCTAGCAAATCTAGTCCTGGATTCTCTGTGAGATATAAAGTTGCATTCGTTTTCGCGTTTCCTTTCGAAACTATACAACAAACCTCTCCAACAATATTTAGTTTTCCTCCAGATGCGCTGTGAGCTAACTGGGTTGTTGAGAGCACCTGTGGTTTACCGATAAGATTCCAAGTTCTCCGACTAATAAGTGTGATGTCAAAAGCGGTGTCGAGTTGCAGGCGGGCACGCTTTTTATTTATATCCAAGTTTACATACTTTCTTTGGCGGCAAATTCGTGCTCGATTATGTGATACCAATATTTTGTTAGTTCGAGCACTAAATCTGTATTTCTTCGAGTAGGATTTCAAAGAATGTCGTCTATGGGTTCTTTTTCTGCAGCAGATTTCTTTATGTCCCTTGCGATGACACTTGCTACAACAATGTTCTTTATATGGGCAGAACCTTTTATAATGTCAACCACCACAAGACCAACATGGAGATGAAGGCTGATTATCTGTGTGCGATGCCTTTCTTGAGCAAGAATCGTTCTTTCCGCTTAAAGCACGAACGTATGGCAACTGGCCATTATTTTCGACCATCGAAGTGTCATGCTTTAGGTTTACCAATCTCTGGCACTCTGTGGTTACTTCTTGTAGTGTCATATTCGGACATTGTTCAATTTTACTCAAAATTCTAGTTCTAATATCGGCATCTTCGGGAGATTGGAGGCTGCACACAAATACGAGACACTTAAACTGGTCTTCTGTCATTGCTGATAGTTTGAAGCGCTCACATTCACGGTTTACTAAACATGCATGTTTCACCCAGTCATCATCACCTGCTTTTGTCATCTTGAGACATTGATAACGAATATTAAACAAGGATGACTGTTCGGCAAAGATTTGCGACAAAATTTCAATCGTTGCATCAAAAGAAAAATCTCTTGGATTCTTTGGAAGGATAAAGTTACTGTAACGTTCATGTTCAACAGTTCAAAGTTTTCGCAAGAGTACTCTGACCTTAGCGGCGTCATCCAGTTTTTTTAGGTCGACCTTGAACAAATCTTCATATTTCTTGAACCAAGTTTCAAAAGTAATGTCAGCTGAACCATCAAAATTAAATTCAAGGATAGAATTAACAATCTGGTCAACATGAGATTTGAAGGGATCATCTGTAACTTCTTTTTGATCCAGGTTCATTTTCTGAGTTAGCAACTCTATCATGCGCATCGGGAACTGTTCAAAACGTTTTTCTTGGCGTTCCAATAAGGCTTCAAGTTGTTCAAAGGTAAATGACATATTGGTACAATAACCCGTCGCTAGATGTTATATCTTGAAAAGCTGATTTTTCGATATACCGCGAATAACTGAGCACTAGAACACCAAACCCCTTCCAAGTCGCAGTAAGAAGACAGAAGACTAACGAAAGGAATATTATTCCAAACAGTGTCAAACATAGTACAAAATTGTCAGGTATTTATAGTTTTAGTGAGAACGAAATCATCATTACAGTCTTCCAGTCCGCGTACAGGGGGTTATTAGCATTACCCAATGGGGAAGCTACACGTTGGAATTCTAGAACATTCTTCCGAAAGGTGATTGGATGGAACGTCTTCGGCTCCTTCTGAGCCTCTTACAGCTTCCTCGAGTTCACCGGTGGTCCGTCGTCACAGTAACTCTTTATACACCCGAAAGAATACTTTGTGTTAGATCCAAACTAAGGTTTGGACTGAAGAGTAACTGTCTAGGTGAGCTAGACAAGCGCCTTTGCCCGGTTGAAACCAAAAGAGTAATTGGGTAAAATGACGGTTCTGAAAGTCATTATAAATGTAAATGTAAATTGTTACCTAAACAAATATGACCACCTAGCTGTTCAACCAATAACTGTCCAACTAATCAAATCTAAATCACAATAAATAAAGATGATAAGGGATGCGAGAAAATTACCAATCTCAACAAATTAATGTTATTCTATCCTGTCTGGATAGACCGCTCACAGACCTGTTCAAAAGATCATATTTGGTTGCTTTATAACACAGAATGTTTCCAATTCATCAATGTTGTCCATCATATTACGTGATTGTCAAGTCATGACAATGATTTATGGCGATATCCTGAGATCATTATGAATATCTAGTTACAGTGTTCATTGAGGATTGGCCAGTGGGAACTAGGTACTTGCCGTTTAGGTGATTCTGAAATATCAGAAATTTGTAGCATTAACGGATCCAAGCTGCTTTACTACATTACCAATCGCGATCCAGAAATACTTGTTCACTAAATGTTAATTTTAATAATAGGCTCCGGAGTTTATTTGGAATGCTTGTTTGACTAACATTTACGTGATAGTTTAATCATTGTATCAGTGTAACATGGTAGTACCTTAATTCGGTGACTTTATTATTTTAACTATGTTAAACTTCTTTTTAGGCAACTACGATAGCCCAATCCATAAACACAAATACATGTAGCAATAATGACTATGACGGATTTAGTGAAAGTGTTAAGGAGGACTCAAATGATTGTAAAAATTAAAGGGTGTTGATATATTATGTAACTCATGTATAGGCCAGGTTAACATGCCAGTTGGTGAGCAATGTAGCAATTTACAAATCATAAACGGCTAAAAAACTTTTTAAAAGTTGAGAAGACTTGCGGAACCACAGTTTAGAATATGATGAGTTGTAATACAGACTTTATACGAAGTTACTATAGTTAGCTTGGTGACACTTACAAACATATGGCAATGGAAATTGTAACTAAGAAGTGTCAAATAATGTTCGAATCTAATATCCTTCGTCTGTAAACAGCACACTTTTCATTTGTAGTGTGTAGTATAATAAAGCTATCAAATATATCTTATGCTATGAACATTTTTGAAGTGGTTGGTATTAAATTTAAAAGCTAAGCTAAGTGAAAATTTTTACATGTTAAATACCAAAACAGTAAATCATCCAGAAAAATAGTAAAATTCGCTTGGATTATTTTCAGGAATTAGATCATTCAATAGATTTAACATATATAAGAACAGCTGCCGACTTATGACCGACAATAACCCTAGAATATTAACAAGCGGAGGTATTTTATCATTCCTACCACCATTATTCCTGTCATTATCGTCCTTAACACATGTCTGACCATCACAACCCTTTCTACTTCCACTTATCTGTTGTTATTATATCTTTATTCGTTTATGTTGTTTACGTAAATTACTTATTTGCTTGTCGTGACCGTTATGTTTTTGCTCCTTTACAGTCTTAGTTGTTAAATATGCATATTACCACCAGCTAGTGCTCCATCTGTCAACGTGATAACAGTTGGTTCTAGCGGCCTCAGTATCATTTATCAAACACATTAGTTCTTCTTGCAGGAAGTAAAAACGACCGCTCAACTATCAAATTTACTTGCATTAGTGCACTGTGGTAGTCAAACTACCCACACTGAATGATACGAAAAACTAGGGACTATGACGCAGAATGAAGAAAAGAGCTTGGATAAATCAACGAGTCCACACAAACGTATCACAAATGTATTGAGTGTATGTACCACAAAATATTCTTGTTTATATGTCCCGAATATATGAACTTGTGATTTCGTCACTCGTTTGGACATTGCTTAGTGATGTGCGTTGAGTAGCAAGTAGTTATTTTTAAAACAGTCCAAAAACGGTTTTCCAGAGTATTTTCAGGATTCTGTGTCTGAAGTGTATGTTAAAATAATTATTTTGTCATCTGGTACGTTATATATTAAAGTAATTGACACAGGTAATAAACATATCTTTCCCATTATACCTCTGCAATATAGCTTAGGTATATTGAAAAGATTGCCTTCACCACTTTCTAACCTCAATCATCAACTGTAAATTATAATTCCGATTCCTCACACAGGTTTATAACCCTCATTTGACCCTAGTTGTTAAGTGGATATCCTCAAGGTCAGTCTAGCATCGCTCAAAGGTCGTCCGTAAATTATAGTCTCACCAACATATAATGCATCAAACCTTGCTTACTATACTGAAACAGAAATGAATTAAGCCCTCTCATTTGTTAGAAACGCTTCATGCTCCCAGTTGCTTGATAAGTAACATTTTAAATACAATACAGCACTATGTAATTAATACAAAAGTCCTGATAATTGGCTTGACTACCGTGTACCATGTAGCAGTAAAACTGCTCATGAATTACTATTTTTATCCATTTTTTTAGATGTCTTTATACCCTTCTCTCGAAGAGTTAAAAGTACAGCATATTATTGACAGTCAAAGTAATGGACCTTCAAATGCGCAGCCTGACTGTCAAAGACCAATGTCACAAATTAACCCCGCTCTATCTGGAAATTGCAATATGGATAATAATATGTCTTCTTACAACATTGGTGGTAGACCTGTTACCTGTGGATCTACAATATCTGGCATTTTTCCTCAATCCGGTATGGGCTGTGGGGTCAATTCAATGTCAATTGCTCCTTTTACACCAAGCGGAGCGCTTTGTCTACCGCTTCCAGCACCATTTGATTGCGTAGATATAAAACCAGGAGTTAGACTTGTTACTCTTTGTAAAAATGAATTCGGTAAAGTCGGAATTCAGCTTAAAGAAATACAGAAAGTAAGTTTTGAGAAAAATGTCCCTACATGACCTGTGGCATCTTCATTATCTTAAATGTTATATGTTTGGAACCAATTAGCATTGATAATTAGGAGTAATTAAAATGCAAAAATGTTATGTCTATTTCTATTTGACAAAAGTAACACCTTTAAACTTGAAATATCCCCATATATTTCGTGGTCCTTGATAAAATTCGGATTATTGAAAAATATATGCTTGGTCTTCACTAAAACTACCTCATTTTATCTCAACTGAAACTGATGTGCACAGTTATATCGACAGCTCCTCTAGTACAAAATAGACTGTAAATGTTAAGATAAAACAAATTACATAAGAACGGAAATAAACAAACATGGATATAAAGTTAACATATAAATCATTTCTTGAGAACTGACCATTACATGGTTGTGGAAAATAATTAGGGCGTACTATTAAATTCGGCCACAAGGTATGATCATGACGTTGTTTCTCTTAATAAAAAAATCAGTTTCAAACGTTGATGCTCCTAGAAATTGTTCGTAAATTAGTTCTTTATAGTGACCTTAGACTTTTTGGAATTTCGCCTCGCTCTAGGAACTTGATTTCTTTATACATCTTTTTACGTATATAGAAAACATTATCTAAAAATCACTCAGTGTAAACAAAACTAGATAATTGAGTCATTTGTTACTAAGGCGTTTGATAATTGATCTGTCTTAGCAAATCGAAGTCTTTTGGTGAACTGTGGTCAATAAGTAAATATATTCTGTATATTAACCGTAACCGAAATGTCTCAGAATAAACGGATCAAAATTATCTTTAAAATGTCATAGAACACATAAACAAGCAGTTTGTCTCTATAAATGATCTACGCAAGTACGAGATTTAATGTTATAGACTATACGTTCTCAGAAATACCTTACTAAAATTTCATATAGCGAAGACTATTTACTTCATTAGATTATTCAGGTTAACTCAATTTATTTGAACTGTGGCACGATTAGTATGTATTTTAAGAAGAAATTACTTTTGTTTCTAATTTCTGTGCTGTAACGCAGCTGCAGCATAATGAATTACTAGTCTGATACGATATTTCGTAAAATCAGAAAATACTTTTTCATGGTTTAAAGTTCTGGTTACAATGGATTAGGTAGATCAATGTATTTTTGAACTCAAATCAACAGTGATTAGAGTAACCAGGCTTACATAGATATATTTTGTGCACAGATTATTAGCTGAAAATCATGATGGATGTACCTTTCGTAGCCATTCCAGGTACCGGAATATCTTGTATATAGTGATAACTTAAACTGGACCACATGTCAAGTAAGGAAAAGGTTATGAGGCTGTTAATAGGAGAAAATAAAGATACAAGTGACTTATAAAATAATGGTATTGTTATTAGCAATCAAATCAAGTATTAGGTAAGAGACAGTCAAGTGCATGAGTCAGTATGAACTAAGTTAGCTGCGAAAATGAAGTGACTAGTGAGTAAACTGATCAAATATATGGAAAAAAGTAATCAAATATAGTAAACTCAGATTCTGAAATGCTAATAATGAGGGGAGCAAGTACATTAATGGATGTATCATACTAAAACCAAATATGTCCCATAACAGAGATGACTATTGACTTGGTGCACCTAAAGCTTCCCAAAGAAAAAAAGGATAAGGGTGACTCCTTGAATTTATGGTTTGAGTGGGTGTGTTTTTACTGCTCGAGATAATTAAATTTTATTTGCTTCTAACACGTTAGTTTGAATGCAATAGATTTTCAAATACTAAGTGGTACTTAGTTTACTGTCTGTTCAGACCAGATGATCTTAGATTAAACTGCCTTGTGAGGTGAACTACATTGTTCTGTGGATTTATTTGAAGGTGCTTGGAGGCATGAGACTTTAAATGTTCAGCACAATTCCCCTTCAGCTTCACGTTCAACAAACATGTAGTAACTCCTGATTATCGCTTCCAAGATTCACGATGATTTGATTAATTTATTGTTTTGTAATCATATAGATGTATAAATATAATAGTATGGCATAATGGTTGTGTTATATGGTGTTTTAAAGCATACCTAAGGCTTGTGAAAGCGTCTCAACTGAATTAGAGTCATTTTGCCGAAATTCTTAAACGGTAGGTTTTCCCTGTTATGTTTATTATATGAAACAAGTTTCTAAACCTAAAAATGCCCGAGCTTCAGTTTTAGTGTAAATCTGTCACTTATTGTTGTGGTTATAGTTAATATACGTAAAGCGTTTGAACTGTGACTAAAATGTCTAAGTTGTGATTAACCGTATGCTTGGTTTCATGATGTGTAAAAAATATATATACCAGGCTTTTATGCTTTCAGTTCTTTTTTCATTTCGATAGGGTATATTTATTTCATTTGTGGAAGGATTTTCACCAGCTGCACTTGGCGGTGTGCGTTTCGGAGATCAAGTCCTGGAAATTAATGATATTCTAGTTACAGGTTGTTCAGGGACAAGATCAATGGAAATATTGAAAAATTCAACTCCTAACAACATAAGACTTGTATTACGTGACCGGTAAGTAGTATGTATGATAATATCAATATATATTTGTTTTCTGTTTATTGCATTAATTGGTAGATATAACATGTCGTTGTGTTCACACATTTACTCTTGTTTTGCCCAATATGAATCAGTTTTATGGTAGATACAATTTACTTCTCAATATAGTATAATTTTCATGGGATAATTACAAGATGTTTTTAAAAATCCCATTTGATTACAAGTTAAAATATAATTGAAATACATATCACTATGAAGATTGTTATGGATTATTTTGTCGAATAACACAACTTTTAATTCATCAAAGGCTAATGTAGATTAAAAAGTGAAACAGAGCAAAGAAATAACTGTTTCGAAGGAATTTCCCTTGACAACTCTACAATAATATGTAAATATAAAATATATACATTTGGTAGTGCTTTGCTACGTAAACTTGACTTCTGTATTCATATGAAATTTGTACACTTTTTTTATCTTAATTATCATAATAGTCAATATTCGAGTGAGTTACGAATGAATGAACTAAACAACTTTATTTTCTTGATTTTGTTTTCATAATTTCTGTTCTCTTTTTGATGATGAGTTGTAATATTCACTTTATTTATTGCTCAATTGTTGTTTATATCCAATTTCTAATCAGTCACACTCCACTTTCTTCATTTTTGGGCAATAATGTATTACTATCTGCCATTACCACAGTTAAAGTGTAGTTATAGATCACACTCAGGAGCCTGGTGAATGAGCTGATTTATTATTAATATAGATGAACCGACCAATGGCGAAATATTTAGTGTATAATGCAACAGATAATTGATGTCGTCAACTGATGCAGATGCAATGAGTATTTGTAAATTTCACTTGTCATTTAGTTACTATATAATCATGTTTTCTATGTTCTACTTTTGTTTTTTAATATGAATAAACCACACCATTTTATAAGTCTCAACTATTTATTTTGTATTAATTTTCACTTCTTATTCCATTTTCTCTTCTCAATATTTATAGTTAATTCTACTTAATTGTGTAATTACATAAATCTTGACAAATTACATTGTAGCACAAAAAAATATGCCAAATTTTCATTTATATTATTCTACCTGTTAACTTTGGTTCCTAAACTAATCGATTAATAATTCACTTGGCATTGTTTTTACTTGAATCTTCCCACTGATGTTTAGGACTGCAATTGATCAATCTCTTATTGGCATATGTGCATACTGTGTGTATTGCTTCGGTATTATCTTAATTTACAAGCAGTAGCTAAGTGGATAACGTGATAGCGTTTGAAGTGAACGGTACTGGGTTCGAGTCCCGGGGTAAAAATCAACTCTGAGATCCGGGTACATCCAACTGACGAGTCCCAAATAGGACTAAACGCGCGTCCTGGATTCCACTGTTACCAACTATCCATAATCGAATAATGTATTAAATCGATTTTTCTATTTCTATAGAATTTAAGTTTGTTTACAACTAATTGCTATAAAACACATGAAAATAATCTCAAAATCTATCTTATTATACATGATATTTGCCAATTTATAACTTTTGGTGTTGAACAATTTGTAATTTCAAAAGACAACGAAAATGTCAAAAATAAGACAATTTTTATTAAATATAATACTCTCTTCCTATTGAGAATCCAAGGAATATGATAATGTGATAATGAAGTTGAACATACACCATTGAATGCCAACTCAAGGATCTGGATATTAGGGTTTTTACACGAGATCTAAGTTTCGGTATTGGATCCTCAGTGATGTTAGCTACTGAGAAGCCCTGTACTAGAACAAAGCAGCCATCTAATGCTTTCAGGTTTTTAATGTAGGTTCAACTTTGGTTGGTTTGTGATCTCAATAGTATTAAATAATCTCCAAAAGCTCCTATACTAATCGTAGTAATAATAATGTATACTAGGAATTGAAAATCAATCAGTGGAATTGTTAAGCGTTGATTTTTACGCCGATCAAATAAATAGATGAAAATCAACTAACATATAGACCGGTGATTAGTTATTACATAATCATCAGAAGGGGTTTGTTTAGATTTTTTTTAGAAATTTTCACAGATTGAAATCATGAGTCAGTTGAAGCTAGACCACCATTGAAAACCTGGAAGCACTGGATGGCCGTTTCGTCATAGTATGGGACTCCTCAGCAGTGCGCATCCACGATCCCGCACCACGCGGGGCTCGAACCCAGGACCTGCTGGCTTCGCGCGCGAGCACTTAACCATTAGACCACTGAGCCGGCATCCAACGGTGTTAATGTCTAACTTCTAAAAATCTCCACAAACCCCTTCTGATAATAACCATCTGATCACTAGTGACTGACTTCAAGAGATACTTCTGGAGTTCTAGTGGGAAGCAATTACATAATTATTTAAAATTTATTAATTATCTGGTGTACTTATTTGTATTCAAAGTTTGAACAATCAAAGTAAATGCAACATCGTTTAAGTTGTGTAAAATATTACTTACCAAGTTGCAAATCTATAAATAATGAATTAGAGTTGTATTTATTTAATTTATTAGTATATACTACTTGTAGAGATTATAGTATTTTCATACCTGAAATCACGAGTCTATCTAAGTTCGACCACCACTGAACGGCCGTTTCGTCCCAGTATGGGAAACCCCAGAAGTGTTAGTTCACAATCCTGTATTTGGGAATCGAATTCAGGATCTTCAGTCTCACGTGCGAATGCTTAACCCCTAGACCACTGAGCCGAACTGTTTCTCTGTGTTGATATCACTTTTGTTTTTATTCGTTGCTCCTGTTTGTATTTCGTGTTTGAGGAAATCGTATCTCTTTATTCGGTTTGGATAGTGACCGTAAAACAATTATCTAATATGTACCCAAAAAATAAAGATTCATATTTTATTGAAATTATTGACACGATATTCCTACGGAAGGATTTCTGAAAAGAAAGAACTGTTATATGCCTGTCCTCTAGTTAAGCCTGTCTACCAGTTCACAGAAATTGTAAGTTCCATCAGTTCCAATGAATTGGCATTTGACAAAATTTCTTCACAGATTTTGAACGCTAAATGAGGATGGAAAATAGTTGGAAGAGGAAATGAATTTTCATTAATTAAGATGGTTAGAAAGTGTTTTGTGTTTGCTCAACCACTAGTTATTTAGAAACATAGTGCTGATGAAGGTTTAGGTTGAAAGGAAACTAGAAACGGTCTAATCAAAATGTGGCATCAGTCTATGAAATCGTTTGCTATTGATTCGAGCCATGTAAGTAGGTTCAGACTATGCAGTAGAGGTTCGAGCAATTATCATCACCAGTGGTTGGAAACGTTGGGTAATATAGCGCAGGATTGATCACACTGGTACGGATATATTCATTCTTTGTCTTCCTTTAGGTCCCAACTATGGAAATCATTTTATACTCTCATTATTTGAAAAATTCCTTTTTTCTTCTCTCATCATGCATTCTACGCTTGATGTTTTCCACTACCCTTAATATTGCTATTATACTTATATTACTTTACCATCTCGATATTACTAATATAAACCGATGCAAATACATGCATGGCTCTATATTTTGTATGAATAACTTACTAACTGTTACTGTTCACACTTATAAATATTCTAATTCTTTCCATGCATTAATCTTTTCCTTACCCAAGTCCATTCGAACGTGTTATTACTGTGCATAAAGATAGTTTAGGTGCAATTGGTGTACATGTTCGTAATGGTTTAATTAAAGCAATTGTTAAAGACTCAAGTGCTGCACGTAATGGTTTATTAACTAATCATCAAATTATTGAAATTAATGGACAAAATGTTGTTGGTTTAAAGGATAAAGATTTACTACAACTTATGGAGGAATCAAAAACTCCAATGAAAGTTACGATTATACCAAAGACATTTTATGATAAATTAACTAGAAGGTAAGTTTTTCCTTTGAAACAATTACTTGCTTAATTACTTGCTATATATATATATATATATATATATATATATATATATATATATATATATTTAAAGTTAAAGAAAAATCCAGTTTAAACATCAACACCCAGATAAGGTATGTGCATTCAGCTGACGAGCCTCAAATGGGGCGAAACTTGCAACCTAGATTCTACTACTAGCTACAATACGAATTTATCATTCATTATTGTGCCTTTCCCTTTTTCTTAAGAAAAACATAACCAATTTGTCTAAAAACACTTCACGTCTGGTGCTTTACAATAATACATTTCAGTATGTATGTATATAATACGTTTCGTCCTGTTTTGCAGTATTTTCATCTAAGTTTAACTTGATAATTTCAAACAAATTTATCACTAGCTGTATTGTCCATAGTAATATTGAAGTGAATAGAGGGCAGTACTTCTAACACTTCGGAATTCAATGTAAATGACTTCTTTACCGAATTAATACACCATGATGTTTAGAAAAGTTGGCTATTTAATTTTTTATTCATTCAGACATTATTTATATATTGCTATTTAATTATTATATCCCATGCTCATTTGATTGATTCAGTGAATGATATATTTGTTTGTTCAATCATCCTCTTAGATTGTTTACATTTTTTTCTAAACTGTAATTTGTACTTTACAAGAAGTTTTGTCTAAATTTGATCGAATAGTTTCACAGTATTGAGTATTGAAGTTAATGTTAGTTAACGATAAACAAAAAAATAATCTCCAAATCTTGTACAAACTTTCTACTTGAATTATTTTCTTCAAAAATAACTGACTGATCTACTAAAGGTTAAATTTGATTCCTAAGAGTTTACCTTGTTAAAGAATTATGTATGGTGGATCGTAAAAACACTTAGATTTTATTCATACGATTATAACTTCTAGTCTTCCCGACCCTTGTTGCTACCTTGACGTGATGGTCGGGTTTACCTATCGTGATGAAGCAACCGAGACATACTGGCTGGAACAACCATTCCTCAAGGTCCTACCATGCCAGACAGGTCTGTTGAAGAGCGGTAAGACTAAAAGCAACAAACCCAAGGTCCGAAGGCGAAGTCGTACTGCTGACTGTACAGAGATGTGACAGCAGTAAGGTGTTTCCTTCAGACAACCAGTATGACAGCGATGCTGCCTCCCCAAACGGAAGGGTGGGGTTAGAACAGGTCGACGCTAAAAGTGCACACCTCGCCTTATCCCACGGATATCCGTCTCCGGCGGTAAGCTCTCAACAAGTACGGAGCTAACACAAAAATTACTCATAAAAAGTATCGGGTATACTCTGTTCCTACTCTTTCTCTCTTTTTCTCTTACTCTCTTTCTCTCCTTCCCTCTCTCGTTAATCTTATTATTCAAAACATATCTGATTATGAAAGATGGATTAAATTAAATTATTTGTTAGACATGAAATTGTACTTGTTTTGAATGTTCGTGTCGTTGTTGTTGTTGTCTAATGTTTTTTTGTTCCAAGAAAAATTTGTAGTCTGAAGCATTAGGAATGAATCAACTTAATGAATAATAAACTAGGTCTGTTGTGAGATATCAACTCACTGAAGACAATGGTGTACGGTGGCGCGACTTCGTGGATTGGTTGAAGTTAGACATTAACACCATTGGATGCCGGCTCAGTGGTCTAATTGGTTAAGCACCTGGCGCGAGGCTGATGAGTCCTAGGTCCGAATCTCGCGAGATGCGGGATCGTGGATGCGGATTGCTGAGGAATCCCGTGTTAGGATGAAACGGCCGTCCAATGCTTTCAGGTTTTAAATGGTGGTCCAGCTTCAATGGACTCATGATTTCAATCAGTGATATTAATAATGTATTGTTTTGTTTTAAGATTTTAAAAGCTCAAACTATTAACTATAACCAAAGATAGATGTTGTCTAACTGTGGAATCCAGAACGCTCATTTTGTTCTACTTGAGACTTGTCAGCTGAACGTACCTACATCTTAGAGTTGATGTTCACTATGGGACTGAGAATCAATATTATTCACTTCAAATGCCATTGCGTTATCCATATAGCTACTAAGATCCGATAAACACTAACTTGTGCAATTTGTTTTTGTATCGGTTGTTTGTATAAGAGACTGATCAAATGTAATCCTAAACATTAATAGAAACATTTAAATAACCAATACAAAAATCAATTATACTACTAATATTTTTAGGTAAACTTGAATGGTACCTAATTGTTGTATCGTGTGGACTGCAGGTTTTGATAAGCAGCGTTTATATCGATCGATTACAGTGGACACGTAAAACACGTAAGGACGACCTAGAGTCCCGATTGGCCCCGCTTCCCTGTCTAGCCCAGCCAGTTGAGTCTAGAACGCAAGTCACAGCCTCTGAGTTATGAATCATTATATTTCAGATATACTCTATTTATATACTAACCAAACAGACCACATCGTACCATAAAAATAGAAAACAACATTTGTACAATACTTAACGAATGAAATAAATAATGGCCAAAAGGAAATGTCCATTTAACGTCCAAGGACATCATTAGACTTAACATGATAATGATTGGTATATTATTCTGCATCCGTAACACTAATAATAAAACCCAGAACTCATTTTTTCATTCTAATTTACAATTTTCAATTGAATGTACCTACATTTAAATGTTGATGTTTATAGTAGGACTCAAAACTGGTGTTTTTGTTTCAAATGCTGGATGCATTATCCATTTAGTTACTGAGTCCAGGTTACCATAGTTTTGTGCAAAGGGGATGAATCATTATTCATTCTTTTTTAGTGATTTGAATCTTTTGATTCTTAATATTAAAGACTACAAATGATCAATCTCTTTTGGTTTATGTGCATTCTGAGCGGATTGTCTTGTTATTATTACGAAATAGTATGTATCTTTTAGCAACTTCAAAGCTTTTCTATTACAACTGTATAATTTAATGGATCTAAATAGTATAGTGTATTACATTTATTACTAAACAGTTAAAGATAGGTTTTGTTTATGAAGTGTCAGCTGATCATTTTATCATTGAACATATTTATGCGTAATTCAGAAATCTTTAATTATTAGATAACCTGGACTTATAGCTCATATGGTGGTAAAAATTAATGAATCAATAATGTTTAGTTTAAGTGTAATACTTGGAAAGTTGCGAGTTCTATGCATGATTTTATGTTAAATCAATATAGAAATCTGACATCAGTAAACTTGGACCTGATAAACATTATGGCTAACAATAATATAAACGTGGTATCATTCTATAAAGACACTAACTGTGGATTCGGTCATGAAAGATAAGAAGCTATAAAAATAGGTAGAACTTGATATGCTCGTTCATAGGTTGAAGTTAAGACAATATATTAACACAGCGAGATGCAATCTAAGTAATATTCATGCTAGTGGTAGAAGGATACATTAAGCATAAGAGATATGATTCGAGGAGAAAACATGAATTTATCGAATAAAATTATTTTTTAATGGTAATTTAGAAACTTAAAACCTAATGGAATACAAAGAGTGAATGCACTTGTCCCCCGTTTTTACAAATTATCCAACATGTCGCTCAACACTCCATCCAATGATTATGATAATGTTGAACTTTAAAACTAGATAGTTTGAACTTGCCTATATGGATTTGTTGAGGTTAATTTCCTCTATATCTGACTCTAATGAATGATATCCCATTAACTGAGTATTTCAAGTAGGCTAAATCTTCTAGTAGGATTATGGATTTACTCGAGATTATTCAGAAGCCTGAACACCAGTTGTAGAGATATTTTTATTGTATAGCGAGCAAGCACACTGTGAAACCAAGATAGAGTGTTTGTGTGAGTTAAAAATCCATATATATATTTTTGAGTGTCAATCAAGTGTGGATAAATTACTAGTATAGGGGTTGTGGAGATTATTAAGTTTTTGATTGAGATCATGAACCGACTGATGTTAGATCACCTTTGGAAACCAATCAATAAAAAAATGTGGATAAATTATTGATTATCTGTATGTTACGACCAATAGGAGAATAGATTAAGAGTTGATGTGCAGACACGCACTCAATCATACACACACAGAAATTAACATAGTGAATGAAGTGTCTGAATTACATTGAGTAGACAAATAATACACTAAGTTGAATGGGCTTGCTACAGATTACTCCAACTGTTAATGATTTAAAAGAGTGATACGTTTCGGTTTGACCGTTCTTAGTTTTCGTTCAACTTACCCCTTCACCAGTCATCTGGACTTATTCAAGTAGGCGGTGGTTAGATATATGTAATATATTTCCTAATCATTATAATCAACAAATATTCATTATCTAATTATATATAGATATGACCATAAACATAATTTATCAACTCATTTCTTTTCATTTGAATGTTATAGTCTTCCAACTGGACAATTACGATTACAAATGGATCGTTCATTACCTTTTGTTTAAATATACATATAACAATTAAAGATATTTCTATTCAGTATTTATTTTCATTAAATTAACAATGTGATAATGATCATGATAATGATGTTATGATCCGAAATAAAACGATGGATTCATTGAGATTTATCGTCCTTACTGAATTTGTTCGTGAACAATTCAATGATCTTCTTTCACTTATTTCCTTTAGTTTATTCTTCCAAAAAAAAGTGTTTCTATATGAATTATTTTGCATGATTGTTAACAATGATGTTAGTAATAATGGGAAGTATTAGGATAACACTGATAATTGATTATAGTTAACATTGAGTACAAACATACCCAAGTATTATTACCATTATTATTATTATTATTGTCATATCATTTCTATCGTATTGATGACAAAATAGAGAGTATTTCTCATTTCACTGTTTGCTTCTCTATTCTTGATTTTTTCATTTTTGTAATTTTTCTCTTCATTAATCTCAGTAAATTATCATTGAGTTATGATTTAATCTTTTGATTTTAGGGTTGTTTTTGAATTGAATTGAATTCACTAGTCGATTTGAGCTAGATTATTGCCGTTTCGAAATCACGGATGCCTGATGCTGAAGTGTCCTATACTAGGACATGATGGTGGTTTAATACTTTCAGGTTTTCAATGATAGTCACCAAAGAAGTGTATGATGCAAATATTGAATAAGTTTGATGGCTATCTGAACCTGTCGACTTCGTGAAGTTGACGCAAATGGTACTCTATTCTAATTTCAATGTAAAAAGAATTAATGCTACAATCAAAACACACTCAGCTGACGAGTTCGAAATAGGACTAACAGCGTCCTCAAATTCTACCATGACCCATCTATTCTATTAAACCAACTAAAGAACTGAACTGACTAGACCTTAGTATAGTTATTAGATCTAGTTTAAAAGATGCTTTACTTTTCTTTATCATCCTTGTGTCTTAACTGATTTCATTCTTAAATCTAACTAGTAACAAAAATATACACAAAATTATCTAAAAATCAATCATTTTGTAAATAAATCTCTTCATCATCTACTAAAACAAGTTTTTATGGCAACATAAAATCAAGCTGATTATTTCAACTGCTAGTTACCATCCATCTTTGAGTATAATGCTTGTGACTGAATGACGATATCAAAGTAATCTATACAGGGTGCATATATGCCAATAAAAGACTAATCATTTCCGGTTCTAAACATCAATGGGAAGATACAAACAATCAATACAAATTCACGACGTTTATGTAGATATTGATGGAAGAATAATTGATAATTATCATACACATCCCACTTAGACATGAATAATTTGTTCGAACAGCTCATTTCTTTTATCGTGCTGTAATCTCCAATGTTATTTAGAGAAAGGTATTAATGAAAATGTAATAAATGAATCATCTACTTTAGTAGATATTACTTACTTACTTACTTCACCATGAGGCGTCAAAGGTCTCCTAAATGAAGACCTTTTAACTCCCAGGATAGACTTCAAATGGTTTGAATTATTTTTTTCTGGTTGGCGTTTCTTTAGCGAGTTAGTTTTCTACGGGATGGGGTCGCTAACCTCATGCCCAACCCTCCTCTTTTACCCGAGCTTGGGACCAGCAGTAACTCTAGAAGAGCTACAGGCGGAGTTCTAATATCTACATGCACATCTGAAATTAATTTCAGAATATCTCTTCTGTTTTCAGTTCACATCGCAGGTTGACTTTCGTTTGATAACTAATGAAAATCAGGAACTATTGAACAACTACTTCATTTTAGTATGGAATTATTTAGCTGTGTTGATTTACGACAACAACAGGCAATCGAACTCATAAACTTCATATTTCGCAGTGAGAGCTTAATTTTTAGAAAACGGAACCAGTTTCTAATGTTTGATGCGTCAAATTTCAATCAGTTATTTGATCACTTTACAACTGGGTAACTTTCTCATATTCGACATAACTGAACTCCAATTGTAACGAATTCTCACTATAATTACAGGAGTTATCTCTTGAATCGAATTGTTTCTATTCATCACAAACTTAACAAATCTCATAGTGATTACTTGTAATTAACAATAAACTTAATCACAAATGAATGATAACAATTATATGATAATACCATGGTTAATTAGCAGTAGATCAGTACATATATTCAATGAAGTCAATAATCACCATGTGTGCATATTTAGTTAAATTTAGTTACAATACACAAACAAAGTTGTATATGAAACATTTTCGGTACTGTTGCATGAAATATAATAAGTATGGTATATACTATATTCATATACTTGTTCTAATGAAAATATTCAACTAACTTTATAATTCAACTTTCATATGAATCAGTAATGTTGTCTATATTCACACTTTATAATTATAATATGGAAAAGGGGGGGTATTTCATAAATTATTAACAATATTCCATAGCAATTTATTTATGTAGGCTAATTTATTTGTATCTAACAAAACATGTTCCAATATTTTACAAACAATGTTACCTAATCAAGTTGGTGTTCCACTGAATCTGACAATACTGGTAACTCAAAGATGAATAAGAAAGAGGGTGATAATAATTGAATGGAAATGTTACCCAATCATATGAAGCGTTAAAGGATTTCTAACTGGAGATTTGTAAACTGGATACTGAGAACAGGAGAAGTATTTGGTATTAGATTGTGATGTGATCTGGTGAAAATGTCTGACCGAGTACAGTCAGCTAGCATGTATTTGTTTAACCTAATAATGTCGGGAAAATTGTCAACTACTTATAACAAAATTTATTCTAAGGAATCATTTACCACTAAAGTATTTTCCCATTGATGATATTTGATGCAAAAAATGTCATTATGGGTTTGTTGAGATTGTTGAATATCTATATAATTCAGACAATCACTGAAAACCTGTAAGCATTGGGTGACCGTTTCATCTTAGAATGGGACTCATTAATAGCGTGTATCCACAACCCCACGTAACGTCATGGATTGATTAAAGTTCAAGTTGCATATAATTTAGTTCCTGTTCAGTGGTTTGACGATAAAGCGTGCGCACCCGAGACCAAAGTTCTGGGTCGTAGATATATACTCCTGAGGAGAATGATACAAGGACGAAACGACCGTCCATTGTTACTAGGTTTTTAATGATTATCTAACGCCAATCAGTTCGGGATTTTAGCAAAGCATGTTTTTGTAAGTATGCAGTAGAAAACTACTACCTCAAGTCTTTCGGTTGTTTGTAAACAGTCATCTGAATATTTGTGGTTAATTTTTATGATTAAGTGATAAAATAGTTGTAAATTCATTGTAAACTACATATTGTTAGACAATATGGTCTGTATTTGTAAAGATTCACATTTTCCCGTTACTAACTTTTGTACAAAGGCTGAAATCACAGATAGGAGAAAAGACAGTACATAGGTGATATATATATGGATTGCCTGACAGGGAAGCTATCTTGGTATGAATATAAGAAAACTACAACCAAGAAATTATGACTTTTAAACATTTACAGTGAAGTTTATATGGATGCTTTCTAAAGAGAACGATAAATGAAATAAGAAAAAGAACGGTGTACAGAATATGTAGTTAAAAATAATTCAGATTGACACGTATTAACATGTTGAATATAGTGATAATTGCAAAAATAGAGAAGTAATATTATGGTTTTTATTTATCAACTTTAAGAAAAACAAGGTCCCATAGTTCAGGCACCAGTAAGATGACGTAAGAGATAAAAATGGGGTTAGACTACAAAATAAAGTTAAAAAGGGTTATTTGATTACAATCATAATTATGATATCAGAGAAAGGTCTATCAAGCTATCATTATGTACATATAAGCCAAGTGAGGAGTGCTTGATAACGATTTCTCTCTGAAAAACTCGATGTTGGTTGTTTTTTTCAATTATTTTGAAGGTATAACTGGTACTAACTCTATGTCCATTGTCCAACAGGTGCTTAATGATTGTTCTTGTGAAAGCGTCACTGCCTTTCAGGCATAGGCTTACTAGGACGTGTTCAGAAAACATGGTGGGAGCCCTTTCATATGTCTTATATACTTGCTACCTCAGCTATATTAAAATTTGTATATACACTTGGAGGTGAGGCCGGATGAGAATTGATCTACCTTTGAATGACTTATTAAATATCTGGTGCTATGTAGTTAAACCAAATGAGGTGGTGCAGAAAATCTGTAGCTCAGGTGGATGATTATGTTGGAGTTTTGTTCTCTGAGCTAGATGATTTGTTCGTGGAGTTTTCATCATTATTCTGAACTACATCAAATCGATGAGAGATACAATCAAAATAAAGAAATAAACAATTACAGGTTAAAGATCAATAATAGCCAATCAAGATCAAGGTCTACAGCACAAGATGTGAACCATATGTAGAGAAATTCAAATACTTCACTTCTACCTGAAGTTTGTGTTGATGATGCTGTTCACAACATTAATGAATGATCTACAACCAAACCATCCAGCTCAAAGAACAAAACGCCACCAAAACCAAATGAGTTACAGAAAAGCCTCTTTTTGATGCCACACTGATTAATCCGTCAATTCTTTCTGAATTCCCACGTTTTGTGAACGAAAGTGGAATGAGTACTGGTTTTTTATTGACAGTCGGTTATTTATAATCTTTAGAATGTTCCTTTCCATTTTTTTCACAATAAATTTCTTTGATTATCTATTTTTTATGAGTATTTTTGGATGATCACCGATTTGCCACTTATTCTGTTGTTTGACACATAGTATTCTGTTGTATCGCGATGAGAATAGTGAATGGTAACTGTTGGGATCTATTTATTGACCAATACTGTGCGTATATTTTTATCGTTTAATTGTTAAGTAACTAAACTATTCATATTCGCGTGAGCTTTATTTTTACCTATGAACTGTTATTGTACGATTTACCATTCTTGAATTATACCCAGTCTATCAATTACTACCTCCGTCGTTCACAGCAACATTTGGCTAAATCTTGTACAAATGTTGTTTTCTATTTTATGGTACGATGTGGCCTATTTGGTTAGTATATAAACCCAGTAATTTTAAAATACATGATTCATACTGCAAAGGCTGAGATTGGTGTTCTGGACTTAACAGGCAGGGCTAGACAGAAAGCAGAACCGATAAGTACTCTAGAGTGTTCATACTTGTTTTATGCGTCATTGATCCGGTTGATAAATTACTGCTCTCTACTTGGCGGTATCATTACTTGATACATATGCAGGACACAGGGAACAAGTTATAACATATCCTAGCTATATTATTATTAAGTAAACATAAAATCTATTTTCAGAAGGGATTTTGTGGAGATTTTAGTGATCTTTATAGTTGAAATCATGAGTCAATTGAAACTAGAACACGATGGAAAACCTGGAAGCACTGGACGGCCGTTTCGTCCTATTATGGGACTCCTCAACAGTGAGCATCCACAACCTCGCCCCCTACCAGATTCAAACCAAGGACTTACTGCTTTCGCGCGTGAGCACTTAACCACTAGACCA